TTTCATTAAGTTTTTGGGTGTGATTGTGAGTAGGATTGTAATCCTTATTTTCCTTTCTTCTGATAAAATGTTTGCATGTGGAAATGCCACTGATTTTCGTTGATTGATTTTGTATCCGGCTAGTATACATACACCAGAAAACATACACAGGCAGAATATAGTAGGAATAAATCTTGTACTAGTGAAAGGATGTGAGTTCCCTCACATCCAATACTTTCTGACTTGGAGTACAGGCTTTAATAGGGAGGGGAAAGAAAAAGAATTGGTAGAGGGTGTACATGTGAAGAGTAAAAATTAAAAGATTTGGCCTTCCCTGGTGGCACAGTTGGTCAGGATGCAGCACTGTAAGCTAGCTGCAGAGCGAGTTCGATTCCCGGCCCTGGAGGTGACCCACATGGCACGGCAGACCTCTTCTGACCTGCCCTGCTGCTCCCCTCAGCAATGTACTCGGATTAGCCTGTTCTGCTCCCCACTCTGGTGAATCCTCTCACCACCCCTGCACCTCTGGCTTGTACCCCAGTTCTGAATGCATAAATTAATAAATCTTTTTAAAAAATTAAAATATTTTCCAAACATTTAGCAAAATACACAGAATCTCAGCAGTCCTCCCAGCTTTTCAACTTGATTAACTATTCCTGCCACAAACTTTTAGCACCTAAAATGTACAAAATCCAAGGAAATACAAAGGTAAGTAAGTCAGACAGCCCCAAACTGTGGCCTTGCTCCGGCATCTTATATTTAAAGTTGTTTGCAAAGTTCATCTAGGTTTTAGAGCTCATTGCTTCTGATGGCTTATATTTCAACTTAGCAAACTGTTCTAGAGGTATTTCCTTAAGCTCAAAGGACTGGTTCCTGTATCCATCAAGTCTACCTTAGAGAAGACGGTGCCATTCTTATTTTGCAGGACTGAACTCTTATGTATATGTCAAAAATATAGGAGTAAAGCTACGAGAAGAAATATGGAAAGTTAGGGGAGATTTTTGGGAAGTGAAGGGGCCAGGAAGGCTTTGCACACGATGGCTAAGGACATAATTTTCTTCGGTGAGATTTTTGAGCCAATTTGTAATTGATTCAAAATGAAACAGGATTTTTTTTTAAAAGATTTATTTATTTATTTATTCATACAGAACTGGGGTACAGGCCAGAGATGCGGAGGGTGAGAGGACTCACCAGAGACAGAGTGGGGAGCAGAACAGGCAGATCGACGTAGTACACTGCTGACGGGGGCAGCGGGCGGGTCAGGAGAGGTCTGCTACGCCATGTGGTCACCTCGGGGCAGGCGGGGATTGAACTCATGCGGAAGTGACTTAAGCTTCTTAGTGCTGTGCTTTAACCCGCTGCGCCACCAGGGAGGGCCCGAAACAGGATTTTAATAGGCACCAGTGACAGGGGGAGAAGGGGAAAGAGGTTTGTATAAAGAAGTTGGAAATTGTAAGATGTGTTAGAAGTTGGAAAGTGTAAGATGTGTTAGAGGATGACAGTGATAAAAAACTGAAATCCTCTTTCTGCATTGGCGTTCAGGATTTGATAGTTCGATGCTGGTGTTTGGTGGGTAGAGTTCCTTATGGTATCAGGTTCTTTTGTTTGGGCCAAGTTTTTGATGTCCCGTGCATTCAGCTGGTTCTTCGTTAGGGAGAGGAGGAGAGTGGAACACTGTGCATGCGAGACTTTTACAGGTCAGACCTGGAGATAGGTGCTTTACTTCCACCTCCTGTCAATGGTCACAATTTAATCATGTGGACCTGGGAGTCTGGGAAATGTAGTGTTTCTGTCTTAGGAAAACAGATTTTAGTGAGCACATAGTCATTTCTTCAGTGATTTTTAACCTCAAGGTTGAACTTTGTTCTGAACGCAATGGTGAGTTGTTCTTCACCTTAGCAGGATGGAGGCAAGCTCATGGTAACATAAGTGCCATAAAGGGAATAATTTTGTATGTTACATTCACTGCTGTAGCTGTGGCATATGGTAGGCCTTAAATAAATATTTGATCAAATAATGTCATGATGGATGGATGCTGGCAAAAAGTCCTGGGCATACTGAACCTTCCAAGGTGGATTAGTGAAAGAGAGTTGAGGCAAAGAGACCAGTTAGAAAGTGATTGTAATATCTGATAGAGCCCAAGTTAGTGTGGTAACAGTAGGAATGAGCGCATATTTAGAAACAAATGTTTACTTCTGCTATTTTAACTTGCTTAGTTTACAACATGGCCATAGCTTATAGTTTCAGCAGAGTCCCTGCTGAGTTGAAATCATAGAAGCAGGTTGTGAGCCGAAAGGACCTGGGACTTTCTTTGGAGGCATTAATTGGAATGCAGCCTCAGGACTTGGGCTATGCCACAATATTGCAACCCAAACAAAATAAAACTTGACTAAACCAGCAAACCCAGATTGGAGTTCAAGTTACTTTAAGGGACCCTTGGGAAAGGCACACTGCAGTTGTATTATGTATGCAAAATTCGCTCCTTGACCTTAGTGTAAGGAAAATTACTGAAGTACACATAATCGGTTGCCAGCTTTCCAAAGTGTTGGACACGTTAACTCCTATGCAATTATGCAATATTTTTTTTTAATTTTAATTTTAAAATATGCTTGAAAAATAGATGCTGATCCAACAAGAACAGAGAATATCGATGAAAAGAATATGTTCTCTGTGCACCTAGGAGAAGCCAACACACAGGCAACCTCATGTGGCTGGAGGTTTCAAGGTTTTAGAAGCTGCTTGCAGATGAATATCTTTGAAATTAAAAGCTGTGGGCGGCCTTCTGTCCACCCTCCAGATTGGACTGCTGGTTTATGTATAAGCTGTGGCGGATTCAGTGTCTGACCTAATACTCAGGTACTCTACCCCTCAAATCTGATGAAAAGCTCCTGACTTCAGGATCATGCAGAGCTGAGTGAAAACTCTCACTGAAGACAGCCAGGGATTCTTAGGAGATTTAAAAGATGCTTGCTGATCTGGAACTAATGTCAAAACAACAGAAGAGCTCTTTGTGGTATTTTTGTATGTTTTCTTTTTGGGAGAAAGATTCAAAATTAAAGCAGCTAAAAGTAATAAATATTTACAAAGACATAATGCTCCATTTCACCCATCCTATCAAAAAAATAAACTGGAAGAATAAAAATGTCTAGAAAAGGAAGGGAAAGCTAAGACAAAATTCAACAACAGTGAGGAGGATGGGAGAGGAGGGTGGGAATGAATGTGACCCTGACCATGATGTCTATTGGTGCAGAAAGAGTGAGGAAGATGTGGGGAAATGCCTGAGAGCATCTCTCCCCTGGGAAGCCAGCTGCTCTTAGAGGGCTGAGTTCCTCAGATCTGGGCCTGTTTAGGCAGAATTTACTGGCTTGATACAATGGGTACCTGCCATCTATTAATTTGGTTTCTAGTTCAAATTCCAGAAACCTCAATTGATTGACATTTCATTTGCCTAGTGACCTATTCACCAATTTCACTAATTTTCTATCAATTTTCTATCAACTAATTGTATAGCAATTCCTGTGACGCAGGATAGTTTTTACAACAACCTTGCAAAGAAAGCTGTTGTATGTAAGTTGACTGGAAAACACTTTTTTTCCCCTGTTGCATCTTTTTGAAGATTCAGTTACAACTTGCTAAGGTTACAAAAACAGGCACACTTCTGTGAGTGGATAGAAGAGCAGAAGCCATTCTAAAGAGGGGAAAGACTCCCATCATTGGTTGGAGACTGGGGGAGGGAGGTCACTGCTGAGGTAAAGAAGGAAGGAACGGGCGTTAATGGTACTGTGTGTTGAAGAATAGGTCAAGTTTGGAGAGAGTGGGGAAGAGTTCAGGGGTTCTATAAACACTTATCAACTGGTATGCACTCTCTATTTAATGATTGAAAACACATTTGATCAGTTTTATGAATTCAATGAAATGACTCTTAGTGTATCCATTTTTAGCAAATTAACTGGTTCATCTAATCCAATCTGTATCAAACCATCCTAGCAACACTTTTAAGCTGAGGCAGGAAGAGAAGCATTCCTGGAGGAAGAGGCAACTTTCTGCACAATGATACCTGTAGCAAGAGGGGATCTGAAAGAGGAGGGATTGTTAACACCCAGAGAGTTCTTTTGCTTACAAGGGGGTTGGAATGGGAGGCCGATTTATCTTGGTTTGCTTGAGATTTCCCTGATTTTAGTTCTGAAAATTTCAATGCCCAAGGAAAATGAGACAGTTGATTAGTCTTGTGTAGAAAAAAAATAAGAAAATGGTGGAGGGCGGGGAGAGGGGATGTTGTGACCTTTTTTAAGAGCTCTCTCTCTTTTTAAATAATAGTTTATTTTTACATCATTTTGTGCCTTTTTCCATCTTAGTTGTAATCCCCGTGGGCTTCCCATCACCAATTCACCTGTGTGCCATCACCATAGTCCAGTACACTTACCCCTTTCCCCATCATTTTTGATACCATTCCCCACTCCACCCCGGTAAAATGTCTCTGGTATGTAGTTGTTCATTATTATTATCATTCCCCCTCCCCCGGTCCTTTATATTCCTGCTATGAGTGAAACCATCCAGTATTTTTCCTTTTCTTTCTGGCTTATTTCACTAAGCATGATCCCTTCCAGGTCCATCCATGTTTCTGAAAAAGGCATGTGTTTATCTTTTTTGATTGCTGAGTAATATTCCATTGTGTATATGTACCACATCTTTTTAATATGTACCAATCATCTACTTTTGGGCATTTGGGTTGATTCCACATCTTTCCGATTGTAAATAAGGCAGCAATAAACATGGGGGTGCAGGTATCTTTTGAATCAGTGTTTTTGTGTCTTTTGGGTAGGAGCTGTCTTTTTGCAGGGATAGTTCATCTACAGGGCCTACAGGAAAGATAAAACATTCTTGGGAGAAATCATTTGGACTCGAGCAGTAAGCCCAAGGACCTAATATCAGAGAAGGCTGTAGGTTTGTTCCAGATATCTTGATTACACAATATATATGCACTTACTTTTCTAAATGTGCCTTTTCTCTCTTTTCTTCAGGGAGGCAGGACACAGTGCGTGAGAGAAGTCTGTCCCACTCTCTCCTGTCCCCAGCACCTTAGCCACATCCCCCCAGGACAGTGCTGCCCCAGATGCTTGGGTGAGTGACTATTTTCAGGTTGAAGAACATTGCCATCTATTCCCAGAATTCTTGCTAAGAGTGTTTGTTCTCATGGTTATTTCAGGGTTCCTAAGTAGTCATATTTCATGGCTTGTTAGCAGTAACTGTGCCTAGTGATGGGAGTGTGAGGTGTGTATGGTGTTTGGCACCTTCACGGGCCTGCACAGCAGTTTCTTCTCTTTTGTTTCTCCTTGTATCTATAAACCTGGTTCATCAGACATTCTCCTCCCCTATCCCCTTTTAGGGAGGATGCTATTTTAGAAAATATCTCTAATTAGGAGTATGATGATTAGTAAGCATGTACTTTAGAGGCCTCTGGAATAACACATGGAAGAATCTAGACCAGTTATACTTTTAGAAGCAAAAGGCTACAGGAGGATAATAGGATTCCTCAAATAAGAGAGCTTGGAAGGAATAATGAATAACAGCTAAAAAAAGGAATAGTAACTATATTCTTTTATTTTTTAAAAAGGCAGTTGAATAATTTAATGAACGTGCTGCCATCATTAAGGCCTCATAATAGTTCAAAATATTTTTAAAAGTTTTATTGAGGTAATATTGGTTTATAACATTATGTAGCTTTCAGGAATATCACATAATCCAGCATCTGCATATATTACATTATGACCACCACCAAGAGTCCAGTTTTCCAGTTTCCATCCTTTACCTTTAGCTGTTCCATGTTGGGCATTTGATATGTATTTGGCATCATGCAAAGCATTTGATATGTTTTTTTCTCATTTAATCTCCACTGAGCTGTGACTCATGTATTAAATACATCCTGCAACACTGCTGTGTGATACAGGTGCTGTTGTTCTTTTTATTACTAAAAGGGAAGTAGATCATTAAAAGGTGGCCCAGCTGGTGAGCTTTGGAGTTGATACCCGAACACCTGGTGTGGTTCCTAAGTCCATGCTCTCACCTGCTGCATCTCAGTTTCCCTGGTGACTTGGAGGCAGAGTGCGTGTTGTGGACTGAAAGGAGACCACCCAGAAAGGGAGTCTCTAGAGCATGAGGTTCTTTGGCTTTTGTCTGTAACCCACATCTCTGCTCCCTCATCATCCCTAGGCCCTAGAGCTAGTTGAGGTCAGACTAGATTCAAATAAAATTAGTTTGGCACAGCATTCAGGTCTCCCCTGATCCCAACTCCAGGAACCCATGAGGGAGCCAATTTTTTTCCTAGTCAAGGATGACTTTGTGTTTCTGCTTCTGCAGTCTCTCTCTCTGGTCCCCACACCCTGTGCCCCCCGGCCCCCACCCTGCTTCTACTGTCTCTTATTTATTTATTTATTAATATATTTTGTCCTTTTGGCAACCATCACCTCCTCTAGTCTTTTTGTATCATACAGTGCTATTGAATCAACCCTTACAAAATAGATTTTACTCATGGATTTGGATAATGAAGGTGATAGCAGAGAACATGGCAAATAACTTAAAAAAAAGAAAAAGATTAAGCTCATTTCTTCTTGAAAGGGCTTAGCTATTTTTCTTTTTGGCAGAGTTCACTGACTGTCTCTTTTATTCTGGCTCCTGTCTCCTAATATGCCTCCCTTTACTGGACGTTTGTCCTCTTTCTTTTATAACTTGTTTCTCCCAAATCCAAGACATGCCATTGACTTATTTTTCTCACTCCCAGTCTGTCACAGGCAGACTTTTCCACCAAACTGGCAAGTAAAGACATCTTGTTAAACGAAGGAAGTTTTCTTCTCTTTGAAGGAGTCTGCTGCTACCGCTGACATAGCTTTGCCTTCTTCTACATGTACTCGAGCACACACATATTACACACACACACACATGCATGCATACACTTTGAAAGTAAATATGAAATCTTATTATAAGAAGAAAGGATGGTTTAAGCTAATGATGTTTCCTCTGATGTGTTTGCTTGTGTCTCTGGAATAAAGTTCTTCCATTCCCTTGTGATAGAAATGATCACACTCTGGGTAATGGTAGAAGTAGTTTTCCACCCGAGTGGTAGAACCATCATAGAGGAGGTGACTTTCAGGCCTGGCCTCAAAGATAAATAAGTTTTATTAATACTTGAAGCTGCACTATGGATATGCTGAGTCAACTCAGAAGCTTCTTATACAAAACAATGAATATTGTGCTAAGTGCATATTTCTCTGTTCATTTGTGATCCTAAGACAGGAGATGAAAGGAAAGCAAATCATAGAAAACCTGAAAACCATAATTCTCCCCAACTAGCCCTTTATTGTTTGGGTCAAACCCCAGCAGAATAGTGCAAATGGCTTAAGTCAGGCTGCATATGAAATCACTGAACTAGTCGTGAATGTTTCATCTTACTTGGTTCATAGTGACTAGGATAAAGACAGGATTTTATAATTTTTGGAGGTAAAAAGAAACATCCCCATCCATTCCCAAACACACATAGCAGATAGGGAAAAAAAAAATAGTAGAATGCTTTCTATTCACTGAAGTCATAGACTTAATTTGATTTTTGACCAGTTGGCCACTGATCTGCTGTTCAGATTTCCTTCAGCCAGGATCATTCATGTGGCATTCCTCTGCCTTCTGGAATAGAACGTTCTTTTCCCACTTTCAGTGAAGAAACTCATCAGAGCTCAGTGTACACAGACCACCCAGTGCAGCTCTCAGAATGACACAGCCAGCCACTAGTAATGATCGTGCTGGTCATCTGCCCCCTACTAGTGGGGTTCATTGAGTGCCAGACTTATATTTAGGTAAAATTTACATTGATTGAGGGATCCCTTAAGCCATTAGTCACATTTGTTCAGGGGTATAAGGTCCTTTGAAGAGTCCTTCTGTTGAGCAATCCATTGAGCCAGGATTCATTCATCCACTCCATGCAACAATATTATCATTATCACTGCAGTATGAACAACAGCTGATGGGTACATGGAGGGGGCTGTTCACTCCACAAGAAAGCCACAGGAGAGACAATATGGAGCTCAGCCTCAAGGAAGATGTATTTTGGTTGGTGGGGAAGGAAGTTGAACAGCATCTATATATTCACTCACATCCTGCCTTTCACCAAAAAGGATTTCAGCACATTACAAAATACATGAATCACATGCAGATAAATATAGGAAAAACAGCTACCTAGGTTATCACAATTTTCAAAAATTGTTTAATTGAAGCAGAGCTATTTTTAATTTATTAAAGAATAGGAATATATCTTTCATGGATTGAAATAGAGGGGCGTGTTTAAAGTAGTAAAAGATAACTTCATCATTTTTGTCATAAATGATGTTTCTTATACTAAACTGTTCTAAAACAGGTATATTTGTACCAGAAGCGATCTTGATGCAGTGGGGCAAATCTATGTGTTTTGGTCTGTGTAAAAATTCTGATGCTTTAGGATAAAACTTTGGGGATTCCCTAGATGAAAAACTAAACAAAAGATGAAGTTTTGAATTTTGCAGGTAATCTTTTAGTCTTTCAATTCTCAGAAACTTCAACACACACACACACATACACACACACACACACTCTTACTTGGGAGTATTAATACTTGCTTGGTTTAAATACAGTCATTGTGTTAATTTTTGTGTAACCATGAGATAGACTTTGGATGTATATGTATGTGTGGTGTATATGTATGTGGTGTGTGTGTGTGTGTGTGTATAATACGCCACTTTATGAGGGAAGTAAGGCCTGAATTATAACCACTATCACCAGGGAGTCCATATGTGGCACCCCAATTTATAACTCATTATCATCTTTTTTTTTTTTAATTTTTTTTGAAAGATTTATTTATTTATTCATATAGAACTGGGGTACAGGCCAGAGATGCGGAGGGTGAGAGGCTTCACCAGAGACAGAGTGGGGAACAGAACAGGCAGATCGACGAAGTACACTGCTGAGGGGAGCAGCGGGCGGGTCAGGAGAGGTCTGCCGCGCCATGTGGTCACCTCCGGGGCAGGCGGAAATCGAACTCAAGCCTAAGTGGCTTTAGCTTCTCAGTGCTGTGCTTTAACCCGCTGCGCCACAAGGGAGGGCCCATTATCATCTTTTAAAGAACAAATTTGCTGCTGGTGGTGAGATGTAAACTGATCATATAATAAATGATTTAATTGTGAGGTTGACTCAGGAAAATATCAGTTTTCTTGACTTCTACTAACAGTAATTCCAGCAGTTCTAAGAACACAGTATTTATTATGTATTTATAGGCATTTTCAGCATGTCACTGCGTCTACTGAAAAGTAGAGATTATTTCTAATCTTTTTACAAGAAGAAAGAGGGTATGAATATAAATTAGATGAGTGAAAATGAATATTTGGCTTTTTAACTTAGTGTATAATCAAAGTAACATTTTTTCCTATTGTGTATATAACTTAGAATTATTTTAATTTATTCTTTATCTTATTTTATTACTTAATAAAATAATATAATTTTCTCTTATTTTAAAAAATAAGAATATTTTATTTCTGGTTGTCAAATTCATCAATATTTCTTTTATTCCCAACCATTACCCCTTAAACCCTTCTGACCTTTTTTTTTTTTTTTAAAAGATTTTTTTATTGATGCATATAGAACTGGGGTACAGGGGCAGTAGAGGATTCACCAGAGACAGAGTGGGGAGCAGAACAGGCATATTGACAAAGTAATCGACAACGTACACTGCTGAGGGGATCAGCAGGCGGGTCAGGAGAGGTCTGCTGTGCCATGTGGCTCACCTCTGGGGCGGGGATCAAACTTATGCTGAAGTGGTTTTAGCTTTTTAGTGCTGTGCTTTAACCCACTGCGCCACCAGGGAGGGCCCGCCTGACCTTTTATCCTCTTTTCTCTTAACCTGAGATGCCTCATTTCACTTATTAGAGTTCACTAGCTTTTATACACATATTTTGCTTTGTTAAAGCATCTGCTATGTAAAGTCCAATATGTGTCTTTGTCATTATGACTTGCTTTACTATACAAAATTCCCTTGAATTCTTTACATTTTTTCTGTAAGTGGCAACATTTTGTCATGTTGAATAATATTCCATCATGTGGGTATATCACGACTTCTTTTTAAAAAATTGTTTAATATGGTTATTATATGATCCTCATTTTTGTACAGTGTATGGTTTCTCTGTAAAGTTCCCACCACCAACTTACCCGTGCACCGCTGCCGTAGTCCTTGGGCTCTTTCCACTGACCTTGACCTTCTCCCTCCTAATATATTACAACTTCTTAATTCTGATTCCTACCAGTGGGCTTTTAGGTTATTTACATGTCTTAAATATTTTAAATAATGCTGCATTAAATATCATGGATCAGAGCCTCCCTGGTGGCGCAGCGGGTTAAAGCACAGCACTGAGAAGCTAAAGCCACTTCCGCATGAGTTCGATCCCCGCCTGCCCTGGAGGGAGGTGACCACATGGCATGGCAGACCTCTCCTGACCCGCCCACTGCTCCCCTCAGCAGTGTACTTGGTCGATCTGCCTGTTCTGCTCCCCACTCTGTCTATGGTGAAACCTCTCGCCGCCCCTGAGCCTCTGGTCTGTACCCCAGTTCTGTATGCACAAATAAATAAATCTAAAAAAAAAAAAAAATGGATCATAGGATCTTTTTGAGTGGATGACTTTAATTTCTTTAGGGAGATGTCCAAGAGTGAAATCGCTGGGTCAAATGGCATTTCCATTTCTGGCTTTTTCTTTTTTTTTAAGATAAATTTAGATCCTCTTCAAAACTGGCTGCACTAACTTATATTCCTACCAGTATAATATGGTTGCATTTTCTCTTGTTTTTGGGATCTTCTTAATATGTGCCATTCTGTCAGGTGTGAGATGACATCCTACTTTGAACCATATCTTCCTTAATAAAAGCTGTGATGCTGAACATTTTTCTATATATCTTAGCTTTTAGAATGTCTCCTTTGGTGAACTGTCTGCTCCGATGTGCTGCCAATTTATTAGTTAGGTTGTTTGTTTCTTTACATTAAATCATATCTGGTATATGAGCCTCTTGTCAGTTGTGTGTCTAGTGTGGATACTTTAACCTATTCAGTAAGGTGCCTTTTTAATCACTTATATGTTTGTCATTGTGTAAAAGTTATTCAATTGGAATTAATTCCAATTGTTCATTTCTCTTCCATTTCCTTTACTGAAAAACCTTAGTCTCCAAAAACATTATTGATGTCATCCAACATACGGCTAGTGTTTTCTTCTATATGTTTTATTGTTGCAGGCCTTATATCTAAATCTTTAATACCTTTTGAAATTACTCTTGTTCATGGAGTTAGAGCTTGATTAAAAGTCATCCTTTTACGTGTGTCCATCCTGTTTTCCCAGCACCATTTGTTAAAGAGACTCTCCTTTTTCCATTGTTTGATGTGACTTGTTTTTCATGAATCAATTGTTGATATATATGTGGATATATTTCTGATCTTTATTATATTTCATTTAGATATATGTCTACTTTTATGCCAATAACATGTTATCTTAATTACTGTTAACTTATAATATAGCTTAAAATCCCGTGATGGGATGTCGTCATGTCTCTCCTTTCTTCCTCACAATGTTTTAGCTTACTACTTTGCACGCTTACTACTATGGTATTATCTGTCCTACACCCTGACTTTGTGTACCCAGTATAGTGCTTAGTTTTAAATGTCCCTGAAGGTAGGTGTGTGCTTTTGAGTTAACAACAACAGAGAGGCTCCATGTGGCAACCATGGCACTTTCTTGTGGGTGGTATTGGCTTAGTATTACTCTTTAAGCAGTTATAGTTTTTCCTACTCTGTTCCTCCATGCTATTTTTCTTCATGTATGCAATAATCATCTATTTATATTTCAGGGTTTGTTTGCTTAGTTGTATTTTGATTGTGAATATGTGGAGAAGGAGAGGCCAGGGTCCAGGGTTTTCATTCTGCCACCATCTTGCTAGATGCTTAAATTAAAGTAACATGCTAGGAATTTATTTATTTACTTATTTATTATTTATTTATTTATGCTTTAGATAAGCTTTGTGCTTCAGGAAGCAGAAACTCAAAATATTGAAGGAAAGGAGGAAATTGGAAATTGGATTTTACTCCTTATTTGTGGTTGCCTTTTCTGTCATTTTAGACAATGTTCAAGTGTTCCCATCAGAAAAAATCAAACTAATTCAACAGAGATGTGAAGCCTATGAAAGATTGGATACTTGACATGTAGAGCTGGAGTCTGCCTCTATGCATTCTTTGAATTAGTTTCACCTTTTATGCCAACAGACTTGTGATTTCTTGAGCTGAAATTTTTTATCATTGATTCTTCTTTGGATATCTTGGCTTCTGCCTCTTCCCTGTCATACCCACCGTGTAGATAATGTTGCTTGTTCTTAAAGATGCAGCTTAGGCAGCACATCTTCCAAGAAGTCATCTCTAACTTCCCTTTCTCCTTGGTCCCATAATTAGCATCTTTCTAGAACTTAATATATTGCTCTATTGAAAGAGTCTTTTGTAGGCTTATTTCTTCATGAGATCTCCATGACAGCTGTTCTATATCTTAGTCATCTTGGTTCATTGTGATGGACATGTAATAAAGATTTGTTGAATTTACAAGGCTCAGTGTGGAATTAAGTTCTGTTACACAAAGATTTTCTATGTTAATGAGTCCTGGGGATCACCTGGTAATAACTGATCCCAGGCTCTTTTTATATGCACCAGGTTTACCTCATCTTGTGAGAATGTTTAACAGTCTTGAGATGTAATTGCTGCTGACAAAGTGGGAAATACATGATTTATGACTGTCTTGCTTATACTATATGGTTGCTTCCCTCTAGGGCAGAGGAAAGTGTTTGATCTCCCATTTGGAAGCTGCCTCTTTCGCAGTGATGTTTATGACAACGGATCATCCTTTCTTTACGACAACTGCACTTCATGTACCTGCAAGGTAAGGTTGCTTTGAGCGGCTGGTCCAATAATGACAATGTTTTGGGATTTAGTATTGACATTATACCCAGACATAATGGCATGTCATTTTCTTTTCGATGGAAGAATTATTAATACTATTTTGTGAATCTCAAGCATTCTATGATTTCAAGGAAGTTCAAGCAGAGGACCAACAAGTAACTCCCTGTGATCTCCTCTAAACAAGAAATGATCTTCCAGTGGAGAGATGTAACTCTGAAGGAATTTTCTAAACTTAGATAGATACATGTGGCAGTATCCTCTGGCACTATCTAAGACTAATCTCTGACACCTAATAGAAATCACTTTTATCACATTCAAGAGAAAAGAAAAGGTGTGAATTTATGGTTTATCACAAGGATAAATCTAGTAGATTTGGAAGAGAGTATTTATGTATGTTCATGATTTATTACTTGAAACATTACTTACTTTTCTCAAAAAAAACAACCAGAAGAACCTTACAGGCCCAGAATTTTAGAGGGATATACACCACACATTTATAAATTACATGTATGCAGTGATCTGTCAGTGAATCCAAAAAGAGAATCATTCACATGAAGGATGGACTTTGAGATCATTGATTAGTGAGCTAATAGAAACGGCTATGTGATAATAGTTTAAAATAATCATTTTTTGTGGTGATGGTTATTGTTTTCAATAGCTAACAGACTAGAGAGTTGCTTTGTTCAATGTCAGCTATGAATCAGTAACTGAGATTACAGTTTAGAAGTTCCTGATTACTTAAGGCATGCTGTGTTACATGGCATGCACTACTTTGTTATGTGGCTGGCTTAGGGCTGAGATTTTTATTCCTGGGCATGGGAAATAGACTAATTTTTTAAAAGCCCAGAGTCTTTCCTGAGACTCCTTCCTCTTTCCCATGGTTGGCATTATCCTATGCTAATCATATAATCACTCTTTGCATTTTCCTTCATCCCTATTCTCACGACTTCTCCTCTGGGAATTTCACAGGTTATAGCTTCCTCTTGGGGATACCAATCTTTGATGAAACACTTAATATTTCTAATTGTAAGAAAGTCAGACATCTCACCAGTGGGATTAGTTATATGTTCAGTGCTTTGGGTCTCATGGATTCCTTTAGAGCTATTTAGATAATAAATCCTAGTGTTCAATGAGAAGTGTGATTAATACCTTTCCTCCAAAAGACCATTACCAGAATAGAAATTTGTAGTTATCTTTGGGAAATTGGATGCTTGAAGAATTGGGCTGTAATCATTTTGGATAATAAATATTATTTTCTCTCTGTCTTTCTAGTATCCCCAGCCAATACCACACCAGATACAGTTTAGTATTTTTCTGAACATAATATGTTTTCAGAGCTCTGTATCCTCCCACTTGGCAATTCCTCTCCATCAGTGTTCCCACACTCACCTTCTTATACTGTCACTAGTGAACTCCTCTTTATCCTCAATAGTCTATCTCAGATGTCACCTTCTCCAGAGAGGCTTATCAAATCCACCTTGATATTAGTACTTCTTCTCTGCTACCTTTGCAGCTGTACTTTTGATATTTGCTACTATGTTATATGGCAGTTTTTTCTGTTAACCTGGTTATTTCTCTTCATACGCTGAGCTCCTTGAGGACAGGGCCTAATCATAAATCTATTCTCATTGCTTAAGTCAGTGCCAGGCTCACAGTTTCACAAGTGCTATGTGCATGTGTGTGTGTATGTGTGAGTGTGTGTGTTTAATGAAAGTTGGGACATCTACCAGGAAAATTTGTTATTTGAGAGCATTATTGAAAAAAAAATGCATTATTTGTTTTACAAGGTGTAAATCAAAACATGCTGTTTCACAGTGAATTTTTCTCCCAGTTTTGGAGTTGATTTATAATCATTTTTTTTTACATGCCAAGCTCTGTGCTAGGTACATTGCATATTTTATTTATACTGCACAGGAAACTCAGTAATAGGTGTTATCATGTTCATCTTGAAGAGGGAGAATATGAGAGTCAGAGAGATAAATTTGCTCATGATAAAACACCTAATAAAATGAATTGGCATGCTATCCTGGTCTTGTTCAAGTCTAAATCCTATCCACTATAGGGAAGGAGAGGAAAGATAAGCTCATGGTCATATTAATGAGATAGCTAAGTCTATCGTTTGCACCCTTCATTTAGTATAATAGATGGTACTGGAAGTACCTCTTGAAGTCAGAGGTTAACATAGAAAATACACAAGTTATATATGTTGACTTATGTTTGCATCTAATGCTCCCTGAAAACTTGCTAATAGGGTCCATGTCTTGGAAAGTGGTTTGGCTTCGTTTCTCTGCCTTCAATCTCCCATTAATTTTACACTTTTGGGGAATTATAATCTATCCTGTGCCACTTCTTTCTCTCAACGTCTTTTGTTATTTTTACAGCTGGCAACCTACTCTAGGTAAAGTTTATTGGCTGCTGCTAGCTCTTTTCTTAAGCTTCTCTGAACCTTCCTTCTGTGGCTTATTGAATCACCATTTACTTGGTGATTTTATTCATGTAGAATGAATATTCATGTGTTTATTCACTTTCATTAATGTGGAATGGCATATTATAAATCAAGCCATACCCTTTAATTGACAGGCTTAAACTTGTCATCCTCAAAGGTTGAGAAGCCTGTGGGGGTCCCTATTTACTGCAGAATCCTAGAAGCCAGGCCTGACTTTAAAAATGCTGGCTTAGCTCCTTTGAGAACATAGAACATGCTAAAATGATTCACCTTGAGCTAGAATTCTAGTTGTTAATTTACTACATGATCAAAGATCTCCTGTCTTTACATGGAATTTATAAAAGGTAGCTTCCAGTCAAAGATGAGACCCGAGAGATACTGACTGCAACCACAGAGAATGTAACGTCTGCAGTCTGTTAGAAAGCACTTACTTGTGGGTGGCTAAAGGGAGGTCAGGTAGCGTGTTTGTTAAAGGCAGAACTCAATTTTAATTTCTAGCTTGCCTTCGCCCCCCCCTCCCAGGACTCTACTGTTGTGTGTAAGAAGAAGTGTGTCCACGCTGGCAGCTGTGACAGAGGCGAGGCTGCTTGTTGTGAAGAGTGCCTCTTACGCGTGCCTCCAGAGAACGTCAGAGTGTGCAAGTTTGGCAACAAGATTTTCCGGGTATGTCATGAGCTCATAGAAACTACTGTTTTTCAGAATGCTCCAGAAAAGATGCCAATTGGGTTATTCCATGTCTTATATATAAAATGTACACATGTAGGTGTACATTATTTCTATCACAATATCATAGACACAGACATATTTGGAAACAGGCGTATGTGGGATAAAAAAGCAACTGTTTGAAAAATGTTTTTTCTTTGGCCTCAGTTTTGCTTCACAAAACAGTTTAAGCCTGTGAAGCAGTATTACCTTCCCCAATGTGACCACCCAGTCGTCAAGTGGCAGTTGAACATGGTCCCTTCTGGAGGGGCTGTGGGAACAGGGGTGCCAGAAGCATCTCATTAAGTCAGAGGTGCTCAGTGCTCCTCCTTCAGGTCCTGAAGAGTTTATGGTCTCTTTTTACCCCCTAACTTTATGCAAAGTTGCTTTTCAAAAAGGATTGGATCATCCTGTTTGGAAGGTGATGAGGGGAGGGTATTTGTGGCACCCGTGGGGGGCACAGCATTGAGTGAAGGTGTGAGTGACCTGCCCCATTAAACCAGCGGGCTTGGCTGTTGGTCCCTGATGCCTACATCCAGCTGTGCTTCACAGGTTGTTTTTTTTTTTTTTTTCCTCTGTTCACTTCTTTTTGATGGTCCGAGTAGGAAATTCTGCCATGTGTATCTCCATCACATGAAGTCAACCTCTGTCTACAGATCAGCCCTGAATCCAGTCTTGACAGCATTGGTTGCAAAATGCTTTCAGGTCTCCTTGTAAACAGTCTCCTTTATGTAAATGAGCATAAACCAATTTCCAAAGTGTCCTTTGAAGCACCATGTCCTAGGAATGTGTACCAAGAGAACTTGGGGCTACCAGGTGTTCTTTAAAACAGTTCAGTTAGTCTTTCTCCTGAGAAACAAAAGGCACTAGAGAGCAAGCAGTCTTTAAAGTACTTCAAAAGTGAGAACGAAGAGGAAGTGGAGGAGTTGTCCTCAAAGATCTGTTTGTTTCTCTGTTCTTAACAAAATCTGCTCTTTGGATCCCAGGAAGGAATCCTTGTTTTGTTTTCAGGGCCAACTCTGTTGCCTGTTACCACTTTTTCCACAAATTCCTGCAAGTTACAAAGGCACAGGGCTTCTTGTGGCTGGACTTTTGGCAATTGTAGATTAAGAATGCAGTGAGTCAAAGACATTCCTCCGACAAGCCCTTTCTGGGCTAGCAAACGTGTCGCAAAGTGCTAGCCTTTGGGGAGAAGAGTCTCTCAGGCAGGGATGTAGGATGAGCCGCTCGAGGCGTATTCTGTCTGGGCTGCACATTGTCAGAGGGCCTGCCCATCCGGCGTCTGAGCAGTGGGGGTCATTGAAATTAGACTCTGCTCTTTGCGTGTTCATGTCCTGTGTGGTCTAGAATCACAACACAGTAGGGAATAAACTAACCAACTCTGGACAGTTGTCTCCCAGAGTGAAATGAGCTGAATAGTGCTTGAGGAACAAGATACAAATGTGATTTGACTATATGCACAAGCATTTATTTTAATCCTGAGGGACAGAACATGCACGTGCACACAGGTTTGTGCACATACATACATATGTATTCACATAAATGCTGCAATCTAATTGTTCTCTTAACTTAATAGGTGTAGATAGACCCTGTGGTGTAATTTTGTCTTGTGAAGGTATCATTCACTCAGGGTAAGAAATGTTGGTCCATGGCCTTTGTTTCTGGCACAGCTGGTTAAAGCGCAGCACTGCAATCTAGCAGCAGCTGCTTCAGTGTAAGTTTGCTCCCCGGCTCCAGAGGTGACCCACATGGCGCAGCAGACCTCTCCTGACCCGGCTGCTGCTCCCCTCGGCTGTGTACTTCATCAGATCTGCCTGTCCTGCTCCCAACTCTGTCTCTGGTGAATCCTCTCACCTACCCTGCACTTCCGACCTGTACCTCAGCTCTGTATGCATAAATAAACAAATCCTTAAAAAAAAAGAAATGTTGGTCTTGCCAAAAAAAGTCCCAGGTTGTTGGCTTAGCTCCTACCAGCCTGCAGCTGACAGCAGCGCCCTGTGCTCTCTCATGCAGGATGGAGAGATGTGGCCCTCCGTTAACTGCTCCATCTGTGCTTGTGTGAAAGGCAGGACGGAGTGTCGGAAGAAGCAGTGTGTTCCTGTCAGCAGCTGCCCACAGGTAGGTGTGGGGTCCAGCCTGTGTCTCCTGGCCTCGGGAAGCCATGCGTGGCACGCTCACACACCGTCTCTGAGACACAGTCCACATCCCTAGGTCAGTTCCCACCTTGATTTAGGTGAAAGGCACTTTGAATGTGTCTCACACTCTTATTTCTTACTGACTTTTCCCAATTCTTTGTTTTCATGTCTGAATCTGTTTGGTCTGCTCTCTTGTTTCTTTTGCTGGGCATTCTGCTGAACACTATCACCATCTTTTGAATTTTCCTCTTTTTTCTCCCTGTCTTCTCAAATCAGAATTTTCTTCCTATTTGCCATCCAAAGTAGTATGTGGTTGCTTATTAATACACTCCCCAAGGGATTTCTCCTGCCTGGGAGCAAACCCCCAACCTCTTTACATTTTTATGTTTTCCCCTCTCCGGCACTGGCCCATCGTAGCTCCAAATGGAAATAGCGTCCTTATGGAAATATCTCTTTTCAGAAACCATAGTTCCAGTGCATTGAATAAAGCAACCATTATCTTCTGAAGCATGAGTTTCATTGAATTCACCTCAGCAACTTGAAACCTTTCAAGGTTTTATGAGTTTTGGGAAAATGTCAAACCTATTCAATACCTTCCTGTGAATGGGAAAATATATCCATATATTCAGGACATGTCCTCCCGTTTCTGTTATAGACAGCTTTTAATTTTATTCACATCTGTTATTATTATAAACAAAAAGTTGCTGTTTTTACTTGAGTGCCAAATGAGGCACAAAAAAACAACAGCTGTTGCTATTGCACAACTGAATAAAGGGGGGAGGGAAGAAAAGGAGAAAAAAAAAATCCCTAATTAGTCTTGCTTTAAAAAGCCTCAGACATAAAACTGAAAACCTCCCATAAAAGAAAAAAAAAAAAAAAGGAGATACAATAAGTAGACTTGAACACTGGCTGCTTATAAATATTCATTGGGAAAAGTGGGATCACATCATTGATGCCAGTCCTGGGGGAACCCTCACTGCTAATGAACTCTTGCAGCACATGTTAGTAATAATGGGCTTCCTTATTCTACAAGACAAAAACAGGACGCAGTGCCAACCTGGTGGCTCAAGTAACCAGCCTCAGCAGGCCGTGTGGAGTTTCCAGCCTCACTTGAGTCTTGCCACTGGGCTGCTTGACGGTTTGCATTGTCGCTTGCTGTGAGGAGGTCAGGGCTCCTCCTGTCGCAGGGTCTTGTTAGCATTTCTTCTTTGTGGACCCTATTTGGGCCAGAAGCCTCCATCTCTCCCTGCAGAAGCCTCGCCACACACACTTCTCCCCCAGTCTTGTCAGAGCCTGCTGGTGCCCAGCTCCTGCCTCAGGGGCCACTTTTCTTTTTCTAGGCATATTTCCAGCCATTCCTCCAGTCTACACTTTCCCTCCTCAGGGGCCAGCATAAGCACTTACGAAGATAACTTAGTTCTACTGCAGAAATACAGTTAAAAATGGACTTTCCCTTCCCTGCATTGTTTAGGGAAATTAAACAACAAAAAAAAAATACATAGAAGAAGCTGTATTCTTTCCTGGATACTACACTCCTTTCTTTTCAGAAGTGTGTGTATCTGTTAAGGAAGGATTTTAGGGCTGCATTTCCTGAGCACTCCCTGGCAACATTCCAGAGTCAAGGGTGAGGCAAGGGTGTGCTTTTTGTGAGGGGCTGTGAGGGTTTCAGTGGGGCAGGAGGTTATGTACAGTCATCTTGGCATGACTAGTATGAGACGTTCTCTATATCACTGGATTAACACCATTTAACACCAGGCTACCTCAGAGAGGGGTGACAGCTCAGCCAGACCCCAGGGCCAATCTGCCTCTTAACGCGGTCCTGCCTCCATGGCTCTGGCCTGACTTATTTCTGTCCAATTCAGTAGAATTGGCAGCCTCACTTTCCTTTTCCGAAGAAGGGAGATGGCATTTCCGCTGAGGTGCTAGGTACAGATGTGATCCTAGAATTAAATTTTATTGGGGTCTTGGCTTTAAGTAGGCTCTGCTCCCCTCAGATAGAGAACAAATGCCCCACCCCCGGAGTCACCATTCTGTCTGCCTGTGGGGAGCCGGCTCCTTTGGCTACATACTCCACTGCTTTCAGTCACAAGAAGTTAAAGGAGACCTCTGTGCCAAATAGAAATAGATAACAGAGTTCCAGCAAGGAAAATATGTGGTGATGGCGCAAACCAGGACAAGCCTAAATAGAACTGAGTTTTAAATCTTATTCAAAGTCATTACAGACTGCAAAAGTGAGCCAATGTGGTTCCAGTTCTTCAATTGTTAACCAGCATCTTTCTGTTGAGCGTGCCTGTCTGGCTGTGTTCTGCATGCATCTGACTGATAGTGGGCTAGGGAAGGAGCCGCATCTGTGTGGAGCTCTGGCGACACTCACCAGGGCCCAGCTCCATGATTTCCTTCTCCTGTAACCCAGGGGCTGGAGAGCTGCATTTGAAGAGTAGATGTGACACACACATGAGGTGTAGTCTGAAGAATGCACTTTCTAGTGCATAGCAGATACTCAATAAATATTAAATTTCCTTAAGGATCAGGATGAAAGAAAATACAAATCTAGAGCAGAGAGAACATGGCCTTTCAGCTTATGCCAAACTGGGCTTGATTTAGGGCTCTGCCACGCGTGCTGCGTGACATCAGCTTCTTCTATAAAAAGGGAAATAAACTTCCTGTACATCTTAGTGATTCCAATAATATATTAATCAGGACCTAACATGTTCTAAATATTTGCCATGGACCTGATGTTTGGTAACATAAGGAAACTATCTACTATGAATATTACGTAGCAGGGATCCCTAATAGTTAATCTTCACAGTTCTTTTGCTTTGTGATTAATTTTGAATCAGAAATGAGACCATTTTGTTTTCTGATCTGGAGCCTGAGAGTATACTTCCTCCATTAAATGCTCTGCATTGAGAAATAGGAAGAAAAGCAATGCAGGAGGTTATATTTCCAGGAAGACCGTGGGCTTAGTTTAACATTTCCAAATTTGCAGCTTTCCAGGATTGATGGCATTATAGTGACTTCAGTTGGCTGGCATCCACCATCTGAGAGTAGAAATCTGAGTTTGACTTGTAGTGCAGATATTACCCACATCTCGAGACTTGGCTGAGGCCCGAGCTTGAGTCACAGTCTGTTGGGTTCCTCCAACAAGCAGAAGCAGAAGGAAGACCTTGCCTGGATAGATCAGGTGACAGATAGCTTCCCATTTTTTGTGTGTTGTATGTCCTTGGTATCAAGAGGGTTAGATCTGGGTATTAATAAAAAAGTTAAGTTCAGACTGTCTCTGTCTTCATGTGAGGAGATCACACTGATGAGTCCTGCAGGTATTATATTTCTGGGAGGATCAAAACAGGAAAGCTCTCTGAATGGTTTTGTTCAGCCGTAGAACCTGATACTTGAAACTTCATTTTCACCTTCGTCATCACCATCTGGGCACTGACTTCAAATACAGATTGAACTGATTTCATTGATTTATCTGGTATTATATTTAAAAAAGATACTTGTCCTTAGCAAACCCTATTTCTTAACAGTAACCTCTTTTGTGTTTTTCTCCTAATTAGGGTAAAATTCTCAACAGAAAAGGATGTTGTCCTATTTGCACTGAAAGTAAGTCTATTGCTTTGAAAACATGCTATTAATATTTGCTTTGTTTTTTATAGCACAACATGAACATTGGTGGTGTGAATTTCCTGCACCTTTTATTTCTGTAGGTATAAGTTGGTATGCCTCCTCCCTCCCTGTAGATCCATTAAGTCAATTGTAAAGCTATCACAGAAGTTCAATTGAGACAAATGTAGATGTTTCCATTGGAATTTGCTGCTTTGAGAAATTTCGAAGATAGATGGTCTGATGAGGTTTTAAAAAGGACCAAATAACTCAGTGTGTGTCTTAACTACTAATAGCATTTGCAGTTTTGTGGCTAAGATAATGATATCCAGTAAAACCAAACATTATACATAATCTAGGAGGGATTTTCATTCTGTCATTATAAAGCCAAACAGCTGCACTTACTTCCTCCTCCCACACCCACCCGCCTCTTCACCATTTCACCTGGGCACATCCGTGTTGCTGTTGGCAAAGAGAAAATAAGAGGTCGTAGACCTGGCAACGGTTTTGCCATCCTGTCATTTTAACTGAGTTCCTGGAGGTTCTGTCTCACAAGGCTAATTCCAAAAGTCATCTGAGACCACACTCTAATCACACAGACAGAGCGCAGCAACAGGTTTAATGTCATCCCCACATGTCCACATCTGTTAGCAAATTGCCATTTCATTTCTCCTCAAATTCATAGGGATGGCTTTCTGAAGTGTTTCACTGACAGAAGAGTGTCAGTAATGTCTGTCAAATTAGTTTCCATGTATAATAAACAGGATTAACAAAGTCATGAAATCTATTAGACAGTATTTTCTGAACTACACAGGCTGAGAGAGTGAGTTTTGATGACAGTTGAAAGCAGTTTCCCTGGGGAAGCAGGTGTGCTTATTTCACTCATCTAAAAATCAGCGTTTGTATTGCTATGTTATTCTGGTTCTGTCGAGATTTTTTTTTAACCACAGATGCATAGGTTCATTTATAGGACTATAAGTATACATTTATATTGCTATTCTATAGTTTATATGTAAATATAGAAAACCCCATTCCTCCCTATTTTTGAGTCAGAGTGTTATTACATTACATACTGGATAAAAGTGCTGATAAATGAAAATTAAATGATAGATTTAATGAAAGATTTTTTTCTTTAAAGAATGTGAAATTTATAAAATAATTTAAAGGGGCCAACCAAGTATGAGTTAGTAGAGTCCAGGAATTAATGCCAGGAAAGAACTAGTTATGGTTAACACACCAGTTGGTTTTAAAACATGTGTATAAACCATTACATTTAATCATTCTCCCAGAGATTCCATTCTTCCTCTGAGGAAACTTTGTTTACGGATGGGTCAAAGGCTACCTCTCATTTAATTCCGTTCTGGATGAGCACAATAGAGTCAAAACTGATGAAGATTTTTCCTGTAGCATGTCAATGGAGATGTTTGTATTTCCCTAGAAAGTATCCCCTAGTTGAAGGAGAGACAGATTCAGAGGAACTCCTAAGACTTTTACTTACCTCTTGCAATTTGCATGAGCACAGATAGGTCACACCTGCCAATCACACTGCTATGAGCCAGAATCTCTGCTCATCAGCTTAATAAAAACAGATGGCCATTCTTGCGCAGAAACTTAAATCTTGAATTATCTGACTTTATGTTCTAAGAATCAACAAGGTGATGATTGATACAGTTGAGCGTAAGAGCACATTTATGTTTACATATGTGTAGCTAGCCTTTCCATATGTAGGGTACCCGTGAGGAGAGAGAGGGGAAGGGAGTAAGGAGTGGAAGGCAGGGCATGGTAAGTGTTTCACTGGTCATACTGAATATTGTATTATGTCAAACATGAGTGAGCTCTTAACTTCTGTCACCGGGAGAGGGAATTTACAAGGAAGAAAGTCACCCAGCAGGACCCCAGGGACACCCTTGATTCTGCACCTGCGTCCAGCAGGTCAGTGTGGGAAGAGCCCAGGCATGTGGTTCTTGCTCCAAATCTACATGATATCATCAGATGGCTATTTCTCAATTTCCTTTGGTGTTCTTTCCATCTGTTTACTCTCTCTTGCTCTCCAGCAATTCTTCCATCAATGCTGTAAAATGCATTCTGTTTGGCTTGGTTTATTTGTTCAGATTGAGTGAAGAGATGGGATGATTTCCAGTTTTTTAAAGCAATGCCCAGATTTGCAAAATACATTCAGGTAGATTTAGTCTGATGTCCTTTAGCTACTGCCTAAATACCTCCTATTTTGAAATTCTTTTGTCATTCTATCCAGGATCCAGAAAAAATCTTGGGTCTCATTTTTTCCTCTATAAAATTCTTCTTTTGTAAAAATTCTTTTGAGGTATGATTTTTTAAAGTAGACAAACAAAACTTGAAGTATAAACTAAGGCTAATGTTTTCTAAAATCAGAAAATGACTTATTTCTGTCTTACTTAAATAAAATCAAGGATATATGTATAAATTGCATTAGTTAGTGCAGAGTTTTCCACCCTGTTACAGTGCAACCAAATAATGCCTTGCTCTGGATGTTCTTCTGAGGCTCATAGGATGTTCAGCAGCGTCTCTGACCTCTACCCATTAGATGTCAGTCACAGCCCCAAACCCCAATATCACACAAACAACAAAGTCTGCTGATGTTGAGGACTCATAATCACTGCTGGTGAGAACCACTAATGCTCCAAAAGGGAGGATCAGCCCCATCAAATGCAAAAATAAATGCCTCTGGGATTAGCTGCAGTCATTTACACTGAGAGACTGGTGGTCACATGCAGTAGGAGAGTAAAATGAAGTTGTTTTTCTGCTGGTGTTAAAAAAAATGACAGAAGTATCTGGATTTAATTGAGCATGTTTCTGTATTTTCATTGCTTAGCCCTCCAAAAAATTATAAAGTCATAACTATATATTTTTAATGAGTTCAATATTGAACATTTTTATTTAATACATGCAGAACATCCAAGTGGGTTGTAGAAGAAAAGTCTGACTTATTGAACAATAGAATCTCTCCTATTTCAACTGGAGATAAAGGGAAAATGAAAATGAACAAAGCTGACACATAATTATACCTTGATTGATTAAAATTCACCATCTTTAGTTGCCAAGAAGCAAAAATTTGCAGCCCACCTGTAATGGAATGGAGTTGTTGAGTAATAACTTTATTTTCACTCCATAAGCGATATGTCTACACTTACATGCTTTGGAATATTTTAGTATATGTGACTATAAGTTTCTCCCAATCTTTTTTTGAAAGGAGGCACACACACACAGATACATACGTACATAAAATTAATTGATATTTCAGGTACCCTCAAATATACTTTATCTGTAACAGTTAAGTATTCTGTCCACCAGTGATGACATTTAATTGTTTGTTCTAAAATCCCACAAAATGTTGCCTTATTGACTGGTTCTGTCTGTTTCGGTAGTATTTGGGAGCTCTCACAGATCACTGGAAGAAATAGCAAGGAGGAAACTTGACCTAAATATATAGGAGACTGTTATAAATCTTTCTCTGCAGTAGTCAGTGAGATGGTAATTTATAATACCACTGGCAAGACACATTCTTGGGACTCAAGACTGTGGCATACCCCACGATAAGGCCAGTCTTTGCAGGGCTGATTTGAAAGGGCAGTGATGATTCTATTAAAACTGAAAAGTATTTTCTCTTGAAATCAGACCTAAGGGAAGTAGGAGGAGCATTTCTTTCTTTTTTTTTTTTTTTTTTTTTAAAGATTTATTTGTGCATACAGAACTGGGGTACAGACCAGAGGCTCAGGGGCGGTGAGAGACAGAATGGGGAGCAGAACAGGCAGATCTATGAAGTACACTGCTGAGAGGAGCAGCGGGCGGGCCAGGAGAGGTCTGCCTCACCATGTGGACTCCTCCGGGGCAGGTGGGAATCGAACTCATGCGGAAGTGGCTTTAGATTCTCAGTGCAGTGCTTTAACCCGCTGCGCCACCAGGGAGGGCCGCATTTCTTTCTTTTAACAACATGGGACGTACTTTCTTCCTTCTTAAACTGGAAAGAATTAAATCTGGCTTGGATGATTTATTTAAAATAAAACATTTGAAGTGAGCTAAACAAATTTTGTAGAGCCTCCATGAGAGTGCTAATTCTTCCCAAAGTATGAGCTGCAGCCTTAAGTAGGACCCCTTTTTCCTGGGCTGAGAGTCACAGGACTGTGTGTTAGGTGTTAAAAAGGCCACGACCTCTGATGTGGTAGCACTTGGTTTATGTGAAGTTATTTTACCATGTGCTGGTAAAGAGTAGGTGTGACCTTGACTGAAACACATGACAGAGACCTGAATCGGATAAGTTCTTTGCTGACAAAAGGTCAGGTTTCAGACATGGAGATAATCCTCAGTGATGATGATTTTATATATAATAGAAGGGCTGTGTATATATGGGGGGGAGAGAATTCTTTTTTTTTATTATAAAGTTTATTTTTACATCATTTTGCACTTTTTTTTTCCATCTCGATTGTAATCCCCGCGCGTTTCCCATCACCAAATCACCCCTGTGCCACCACCATAGTCCC